TCTGTCTGTCTGTCTGTCTGTCTGTCTGTCTGTCTGTCTGTCTGTCTCTCTCTCTTTTCTGTTTTCCTTCTCTTCTCTCAAGCAAGTAAGAAGATCCCCCTTAGAAGCGCTCCATGTTCAGAGGCCAAAAAGGCACCTTGCCAGACCTCCCAATCACAGGAACCAACCGTGCCGCCACGTCGCGCCAGGAGCCGAAGAACACCGACCGCCGCTCGGTGGAAGGAAGGAAGAGGCACTACCCGTGGATGCGGGAAGACATCAGGCCTACGTATGGCCACAAACTCAAAAATAGTTATATATCGTACAGAAATAGGTAGTAAATAATAGTAATACTAGTAATGAATAGCATATACATATATGTATATATCTATATCTATATATATATATATACACCCATCCGTGATGGTATGCTGTAGCAGCTGACCTTGTCGTTCCCACGCAAACCGGCGTGTCCTTGCCCAAAGGCGCGCGCCAAAGCACCGTCTCCATCGCTCTCGCTCGCCGGGTCTGCGCGACTCGGCCGCGGCCGAGGTCTCCAGTGCTTGCGGGAGGACAACTTGGACCTGGTGGGCAAGCTGGACGCGGACGAGCGCTACATCCTTCGGGAGGCGCGGACGCTTTGGGCCGCCGTCGTTTGCGGAGTCGGGGGTCGTGCGGAGTCGGGGGTATAGGGGTGGTTAGATGGTCACCCTGTGAAAGAGGTTGGTCGGGAGGACCCAGCAGAGGTTGAAGAACCCTATAGACTATCCTATAGGTACCCCTCTAGTGTCCTGTAAGGTCACTTAACCTCTGTAGGTACACTGGAAAACTTTTTCCCAAAAACTGCTTTCTCAGTGGGTGTCGGTCGGGTGGTTGGTGTGCGAAGGACGCCCAGCCATGACCGTCATTCGTCATGAGATTTGGGGTGAATCCTATATAGGTGCCACGTCATGCCAGGTCTGACCAGGCGAAACCACCAGGGAATCTGCGTGGATCTGCCTTGTGACCTGAGGTGATTCCCACGAGTGATGACACTTCAGGCAGGGATGGTGGTATGCGGGTGGCATGGTGGTATGCGGGCGTTCGGCCTTCCTTGGGTAGGTTTTGTTTTTTGTTTTTGTCGTGTGGACCGTGTGTCTTAGGCCCCCGCATTCATCTGAAGATGTGAAGATCACACATCAAGTGATGAGAAGTCGAGCCAATTTTGGTTCAAGTGAGGATGGATGTTAGGACAGCCACTGACCCTTTCAGTGAAAGATCTTTAAATCTTCTTTCACTGTATAACTAAACTATGCATGTTCTTTCCCTGCCCATGTTCTTTCATGCAGCATCACCGGTCAGTCGTTGGTTGCACCGGAGGCGACTTGTACGTCTTCTGCGAGCAGATCCAGGTCCACTCGTTGAACGCACGGGTTCACCTCAAGCGCGTGGGTGAGGTGCCCGGACCTGGATTGGACCTGGATTGGACAGAGGTGGTGAAACGAGGAAAGAAGGGGCATGAATGCGGAATGGAAGGGGAACTCAGTACCCAAAGAGCTTCTGGATGTGTGAGACAGCTCCTGGATGTGTGAGACTCTTCCAACCTTTGCGTGGGTCAAAGGTTGATGACAGACATGTCGAAAGAATGAACGGTTTGTATTCGAGCAATTTTTGTACTTTTTGCAGCACCCTGGTTTTGGCTTTAGTCGCTGACTTGATCCCTCTCGGATGTGAATACATCACATGTGCGCATCACATCCAGAAGCCGGCCGCCGACGGCGCGACCCTCGAAGAAGCGCGCCCTGCCAGGACGAGTTCGAGTTCAAGTTGACGGGGAACAAGCGGCGGCAAGGCGGGTAGACGGGACATTCCAACGGAGGTGGGTCAGAACCCGACTCTTCGGCTATCCCAGGAAACGGAACCCCAGTGTTCCGGGTCCTATGAAACCGGTCACTGGATACCTCTCTTGGTTCCCTTGGTGGCGCGAAGCATCGACTTCCATCGGATGCCGAATCGGCCGGTCCTCGGCCGGGTCCCGCCGTCCACCGGGCCGCGTCGGAGTCGCCGCCGGCGCTGCGTCACGACCCGGATGGGCCTGTACTCTTGCGCCAGGGCGCCCGGAGCAGGTGGCCAGTGGTGAAGCGTCCTTCATGATCCGCGGATTCGAGGAGGGGGCGGAGTGAGGTGATGCCGGAGAAGCCGCCGGAGCCACCGGGGTTGTGGTTGTGGTTTGTGGTTTGTGGTTGTGGTTGTGGTTGTTGTTCCAGCTTCCTCTGCCAAGCTGAGAAGCTGGGAGTTTCAGCTGGGACCCGGCACGAGTGTTGGAAGTTTGACAGAAGAAGAAGAAGGAGAAGAAGACCGCGTTCCTTTCCTTTCCCCCTTCATGCTCCTTTTGTGGGGGCTCTGGCACCTTCTGGCACCT